CTTACCGACTCTTGCCTAATGATCCAAGAGCACGGCGCTTGAGTGGTTGCCTCATCTTTTTTTCAGGAGTTCCTAGATCACAAGGTATTAACTTCGCATAAATTGGCCTCATTTTGCTATCAATCCAAAGATACAATACAACAGAGAGTGCAAGCCGCATGGACCATATGACAGCAGTGGCAACAGTAGAGTAGACCTCAGCAGGCACAGTGTCCACATTGAAGACATCAACATTTATTATTTGTTGGTGCAACTTTTTCCAAACATCATTCCAACAATCTATTGGCATTCGATCCACCACATGGCGCCGGAAAATAATTTCTTTCTCTGAATTCCTGTTTGTTCCCTCCATTTTTCGATCTTTGTAGTAAGGAAGTATCACTGCAGGAAAAGAAAGACGGACAATCACTTTGCAGAAAAGATTTTCAGGGAAACTGCCAATGACTACTGTGAGAATATGAGAGCATATAAAAGTACAGTTAATGGCCACACACAGAAAGAAGGCTTTTAAATACGTTTTTGCATGTGTGCTAATGTAAAGTTCGCTTATAGCCAACTAACTGAACCAAATCACTCCGGAAAGGAGCCTTGGAGAGCTTAACCACTAGGCCAAAGGCCTTCGAAGACTTTTCCATTCTTCATTTAAGAAATAAGACTCCAAATATGACTTACAATTCATGCTATGTTTAGAACACATCCAGAATTTTTATGAAATTCAGTTGCAAATCTAGACTAAATTTAACAAGAAGACAGTCAAAATACTTTCTAAAATGGAAAAACTTGATCTTATATGGAATTCCATGTGGACCTGGATCAATGTGTTCCAAATTCGTCGATTTTCGTCGAGGTATTGAGAAGCTTTTTTTTTTAAAAGCATTATCTATATTCCGCATAGAATTTCACATGAAATCAATTTTTTATCTTCTAATAGAATTTAGATCATCTCCTACTTAAACTAAATGTAGATTTATAAATAAATTCTGTAATATTTGTATTTGTCAAACATAGCTTTGATCACCTTCCAAATTCTAACTGTACTCAAACTACATGGTTTATGATGATCTGCTTATATAGTTATCATAGTGCGTGAAATTCGAACTGCGATGCCAGCACGCAAAAATATTCCTCAAACACAGTACTATATACCAATAATCAAGGCAGTGACAAGGAATAAAATTTTTAATAGAAAGGTAAATCAGTCAAGAATTTCCAAACCTGATACTGTCTGCCCATAATTTGAGTACTCCATATATTGGACGTTATTTGAATTAAGTAATCTAATAAAATCACTGAAGTTAATCCTGTGAGAAGTCTCAGGATCCCACTCAGTTCCCTTTAACTTCCCACGCATAGTCAATAGGGCCCGACTCCATGATGATGCCATGACGAGCTGTCTCTCTAACTGTATGTCGGCTTTTCTTTGAAGCTCTTCCAACTTATTTATTCGCTCTCTTTCCGCATCCTTCAATTTCTGAACAAATTATAAATGTAGCTGATTTAGAGGTGCAGTAAACTCCAATAAATATGTCAACTCCAATTGCGTAGCAAGACTACAAACTCTATATTCTGAAGATGAATAAGGACCATTAAAATTTCACTGTTCAAGGTCGAGTTCTTCTGAACTCTGGACTCTAAAGAACGTAGAAGACCAAAATTGAAGCACATTTCTATTTTTTTTTTCATCATAGTCCTTTCTTAAGTCGCCGAGAAAACTGAAAAGTTACAGAAACATTCCTTAAGAAAATGAATTTATCAAATTACCTACTAATTTTTAGCAGTAAACAAAAAATATTGAAAAAGCTTACTTGTATTTCGCGAGGAGAGAAGAGATATACCTCAAATAACTTCATGGACTCGGTCTCTTCTTCCGAGTTGGGAGAGGCTACAACTGAGTCCGAACTCGAAGCTTCACAAGCATTAACAGTGAGTCTTCTGGGCATGATGAAGAGAAACGGATTGTTTTTGGAGCTAAATTTAATTTTACAAACGCGTCTGCGAGGTGTTTTATGAGAGAAGGAATACGGAAAGTGAATGAGAAAGGCATTGGAGGGATATACGGGTCGTGGAACTTGGACGGTCCCGAGAGGATTTGACAAGTGTGCTTTCATTTCTCCGGCATGAGAGAAAAATGTTTTCTCTACACTTTCTAGTGTGGGAAAATGGAGAGGAAAATGTATGTTTATCTAATAAGCCTGCAGTCAATGGAAAGTGGAAGGGAGAATTTGCGTGAGCTTTCGAAGAGAAGAACAAAACGATGCGTTTTAAGTCATTGTTTACTCCCGCGATAGTGATAAAACGACATTGATGCTACGTCGTTTATGTCTGCGTTGGAGAGCTCCTTTTCTTGTCGAGTACAGAAGGAAGAAAAAAAAAAAGCTTCTGAAAAGATTAATACTAATTAACTATCTAGAAATTTGTATTTTATAAATAATATGCAGATGAAATTTACAGAAATTATACTTCTCATGTATTTCAAAATGAAAAAATTTAAGTTGTATTTGAAATAAATCTAAAAAAAATTGTGAAAGTTACTTATAAATATAAAGTTAATTTAACAAAAAAAATATAATTTAAAAAAATTAATAGCATATAAAATTTAAAGTAAATTTTTTTTTTTTTAATGAAATCAATTTTTATCATTTTAAAAAGTATTTTTAGCTTCTTGAGTCAAGTGTTCCCAAATGAATCCGTTAATTTCTAATTAAAAATAATTAAATAACTATCAACCCACAAATAATGTGATGAAATTAATGTAAATAATAAGAGGAAAATGATGTGAGTTTGTGATTCTTAATTATATTCTAATTAAAAATATATTGAAATTTGTATTCTTCTTTTCATATAAAGATGTATGAAAAATTATGTCAAAATTTATTATTCCATAGTCAATTTTTATACAAAAGGATGAAGTAGAGTAATTTTTTTGTAATTTCTCATAAATAATAAGAAGATAGTGATCATCATCTGTATCTGCAGCAGCTTATGAATTTTCTCCTACCCCTAGAACATGAAAAAGAATGTGAGAATGTGATTTACAAAACCCTTCCTCCACTCCCCCAACTTTTCAGACTGCCTGTATTCATTAATGGCTGCAACAAAAAGGAAGGGGGAGGGAGAGAGACAGAGAAAAGGGAGAAAGAGGGTGAACTGGTGTTGGAAGTGTCCACTTAGGCTCTTCACTGAGTCTCTAAGCTAATCTCACATCAGAAAATTCTGCAACTTTCATAGTCGTGCTGTGATTTCATGTATGTCCTCGAACCTTAGATTTGCATATACACTCAGGATATGGATTCTCATAAAATGATTCTTCAGTCCTAAAACGTGCTCGGCCCCTTAATTCCTGGTGCTGGACCTTTTTTCTTCTCCTTGGAGAACCCTTGCCTACATTGTTTGATTCAGGTCATTCCTCATGGAACCATGCTAATATAAATAAAGTCAATTCCTTTTGTCATTACTTTATTTAGTTGTAGGCTCTGTTTACATTATAGATTTAGAAGCAGATGAATCAAATATTGCCAACATCATTCCGCTGAATGCCTTATAGAGAGACTGTATAATAGGAGTTGATTTTTTCAAAGAAGAAACAGAAAAATGAGAATCCTTATTTATAAGTTACCTATACTTGTGCATTTGCTGCACAAGACGTGATAGCGATGACCCTTCTGTCAGCTGTCCACTATCAAGGCCGTCAAAAAGTTTGACAAGTCCTTTCCTGTCCACAAAATTAAAACATTTACATGACAGTCTAATACACAACCATAGTAATCCTCCTATGTCCATATATCTAACATATTGGTTTTATCACTAGAAATTTTTCTCCGGCAACAAGTTTTAAACAGAGGACAGTTTCATCAAGCCACTATGAGCTTTTATTACAGAGATATTTGTTTGCCGAAAGAAGTCAGGACTTCTGAGGGGCCAAGGAACTAAATTACAGATAGCTGGATTCTTTCTCTGTACTTATGATTTGCTGGTCATTTTTTCCAGTGAGGAAGAGCTTGTTGACCTCATAGATTTTCTAAGTTGTATGTATACACTATGGTTTTGTATTTGGTGGCACCCCCTAGGTGCCTCTGAATAACATGTTTCTGTCAATAAGAGATATATTTGCTTGCTCTTATTTCAAATCTAAATTACTATGGCAAAGAAACTATCTTCTAGTTGTTTGTCTGTAGAGAAGCTGCCCTCATTAGAGTTATATTGCTTCTCCCTGTAACCAAGAATTTGGATATGTAACAGAAGGCCCAAAGCTTCCAACGACTATAATCCAGAACAGAGTAAACAATAGGAGCTCAGAGCAACTGCAAATTGGATTCAACACAGGGCATAGGTCCTAACTGAAAGCAAGTATGCTCCAGGGTAAGTTTAGCTGTCATGATTTCTAAGCTTCAAAACTGCCCATAAAACAACTGACTTAATACCTGTCTGGGATGATTGTCTTTAGGTGGCCCAAAAATCTGCGGTGTCCCTCAACAGCTCTTGCCATGTTACCTGAATATGATGGAATGAACACATCACTCTCAACTGAAATAATGTAATCAAGTGCCGCCATTTGAGATGCATGATTACTGAATTGCTTCAACTCTTGTGGTTCAGCCAGCCTCTCCTGCCATAAATCCAGTAGCAAATTCAACATGGAATATCAATGGCAAAGATTTCATAGCCAGATATTTTACTAATAGAAAAAGCTACAGCTACAAGTGAGTTACAAACCTTAAAAACTAGATTTGGGAAACGGGATGTGAGCTCTAAGAGGTGAGTATTACCGCCATAAATTTCCCCAGCCGCCACATAAATTGAAGTTGAGGGAGGGTAACCAAGGGCTTGTAGAAATATACCCACCTCTTTGGGAGTAAGGGGACAAAGGCCTTCGATTCGCTGCTCTGTTGAGTTTATCTTTTTAACCTTCCAATGGTTTGTGTTCTCCCTAGAAAAAACATAAAATACCTACAAAGTGAGACATACCAAGCCCCTAGAAAAATCAACTGAACACTTGCACAATGAAATTGCAAGACCTAATTAATTAACACAACCGTCAGAAAATGTAGTATTCTCCACATAATTGCATTTGACACAATGAAATTGCAAGACCTAATGTCAACATAATGTGAAAGGTATAACACAAACTTAAATTCACTAACTTGAGATATTCATCTTTTGAGTTAATTTGATTTGAAATTTTCTAGTATGTTTCTTTCAAAAAAAAAAAAATTCCAGTATGTGAACACTAACAAGCATAAAAGTTGGCAGGCTTGTTTCCATTTCCTGTGGAGTCAGACTTTGACCCAGTGGAAACAAATTCAAAAGGGACATAAAAACATAAGAAAAGAACCATCTTCTCAAGAAGGGGTATCAAATGAAGTACCAATAAAAGAAAAACATAATATCAGATGCTTACAAGGCAAACAAGGGGGTTAGCCTCTTCTTGCCTAACCAATCTGATACGAATATAAGCATGTATCTGTTAAGGTAAACAGTATCTAGGATCTCATTCATTCATGCACAGAAATAAATTCTCACCGCATTATTCTCAGCTCTTCAGATTCTGCCTCAGTCAGACCATGAGTACAACCAGTGAAAGATAGCATGTCTTTTTCATATCTCAGATGAAGAGCAATATATCTTCCTGTTCGTGACCGCAGTCGCTCGACAAGCTTCTGTGGTGGAACCGTCATGCATTCTCAGAACCTAATTTAACAGGAAGCCCCATAGGAGACCTCTTAAATGCATCGATACTGAAAGAAACACAAGTCTGGAACCACATAGACTGGTTTAAATGTTTTGTTTTAAAATGTTTCCAGATATTCTGACCATTATGCAAAGCCCTCTAAAATTCTATCAGTATAGAAGTCTTTAGAGAACTAGTAACCTCATTACCTCACCCTTTATATGATATATCTATATCTGAACAATTTAGAAATCCAAGATTTGGTGATCTCAATTAGGTTTCACGACGGAACATGTGAGGAATAAAATGCAGCATTTGGTAACTATTAAACAATACGTACTAACCTCTATCATATCCTGTCATCCTGAAATACATTAGGCAAATAAATATGCACAGATATGCAAACGGGAAACATACATGTCCAAATATATATCAGGATATGATAAGAGCAAGTAAGGATTGCCTGTCACTTCCCCAGTACTGGAACCTATTTTACCATCTGAAGGAAAATGAATGCTACAAGCAACAGGATTTCAAACCTTTCCTAAGCTTTCAATTGAAGGAGAGAAGTGCAACGCGTAATAGAGAGCACGGCATCTCAATCTTTGTATGTCAATAGGCAAATCATTATTTGCAAGCCGAGAATCAGATTTTGCAACATGGATTACCTGTAAAAAATTGACTTAATAACCATCCTTGAGCATAGACATTTTCCAATTAAGAGCATGCCAAGGCAAACTAATAAACATATCTCAAAAAACCCATTCATACTGTCTGTCTAATAATCAGCAAGTCCAATATTGAAACACTGTCAGACCAGGATATCTGTCTAGGCAGGTTTGGTATGCGAAAAATGAAGAAGACATTGAATCTTCTAGATTTCTGTTTTAAAAATAGTCTTAAATTCCATGTAATAGTTATGTAATTATCTTGCGATCCAGTTGATGTAACCCCATATGCTCCATAAGATATCAAAAACATACACTAAAAAACAGCTAATAGGGTACATTGCTCAAGGGAGAGAAGAACTGAATTGACAAGATCATCCACAGCAACCTCAGCTACAGAAAAAAACTATAAATCCATAACCTGAACCATCATGCATGGTATAGTAGAATTGACAGGCACCAACCATTTACATACCTGGTAGTCCTTCCACAGATGGGTCATTTCTTCATAGTAAGCCACACCAGACCAGGAAGTAAAATGCTTCCGGGCCCTTGGGACAGACTCCAGCTCCTTTGGGAGCTCCTTGATAACATTCACATCTCCTTGTAAGGTCGAGATAAAATGGAATTCATCAAAGATATCTGAAAATGTACTGTCGTAGGGCCCATAATAGAAGAGAAAGGATAAATGATAAAAATGAATATGAACCCAGAATATTTGATTTGATAACTAAATACTTGAGAATACCTTGAGTCTTGCCAGAATGAACGCTTATCCAGTTGAGGAATAACTAAGGTTGCATTCATGATGTGTGCAACAGCCACCATGTCTGCTATCTACAAGAAGGGCATAGTTATGAATTTGATGACGAGAAAAAGGTTTTGTCCAGTTATATACTTAATTATCTAACAAGTTATTAGCATTTGAATCCAGGTGGTGACAATAGAATAGGATATATGAGGCAGCATGTCTAGATTCTGCCATGTTAGGTACCCAAAATAGCCTACTTGTGAGTTTTTTCTTTCCTGACAGAGAAGAAAAGAAAATTTATATATAGGCTCCACAGGGGGTGCCAATCATGTACAAACAAGAAACAAAATTAGAGAATAGAATCAAACAAAAAACCAATAATATCCCCAAGTATGGAAGACAAATGATCCCCCAAGAATAGCTTTTTTTTGCTTGGCAAGCGAGTAGAGAATGTACCCTGACTATTGATAAGATGATGCGGAGGGGCAAAATACTGCTTAATTACTGCTTTTTATGCAAGATGAATGCGGAATCCTGTGACCGTATATTTCTCTGGTGCCTGATGGTGTATAGCATCTGGTCTATGGTGTACGGTCTCCTAGGGATCAATTGGGTGATTGAGAGGTTGGTGGATCTAGGCATGGACGGGCTTTAGTAAAATTAAAAAGAAAAAAACTTATTTCATCTTATACCTTTATCTATTCTTGGGTTATTTGGAAGGAGAAAAATGCTATACATTTAAGGAATTGAGGAGATTGTTAATAGGGATAAGATGGATTCATGTTTTTGGCTCCTTAATTTGGGTCATGACATCAATAGGTTGAATGATTTTGGATGTCATTGATCTACTAACTAACATGTAAATATCGTGTATAGGGATGACACCCCCTTGGTACCATTGTTCATATTAATACTATACCACTTGTTTCAAAAAAAAATGGCAACTATTATTGGACATACAAGCATTAGAAATATATGATCATTACATTTCAACAAGGTTATTATATTACATCTCGTAGAAAGTAAAGAAGTTAAATAAAAATACTTAATAACATAACAAAACATTTATACAAACTTCTAACCTGATGGCACAGAATAGAGATATAAATAGTCTTGAGAAATCTAATACACCGAAATAATTTGCTTATGGACAATATCATTGTGGTATATCATTTTAATTAGAAACCATGTTGCAACCATCATGAGCTCTCCCTCCTCTCCTCCTCCCATCATCTACTTGATACTTGAACGTTCATGGTTTCTGACATGTACAACCATTCATCAAGGGATGGAAATGAAGGTGCAAGCCATAGGAAACAGTTTGCATTCGTCTTTCCGTTGTTACTTCAAACCCAACCAATTAGAATGTGGCTTTCAGCAACAGTTTTTTAAAGGTGCATGATCCTTCTAAGGTAGATGTATTCATAGAACAACTATTATTAACAGGTTTAACACTCTTCAAGCACTCTCGAATTCAGTCATCAATGAGAATTTCTAGAGTCTAAGTTTACAGAAACTAGGATAAGTTGAATTAATATCCTCCAAATAATATTTACTTTTCAACTGATGTCAAATACTGGCTTGAAGTTTGCCAAGGTTTTTAGTCTAGACGAGTTTCCCCAAGAAGCTTTTCTTGTATCAAGGGGACACCTTGGCTGTGATGAAGTGCTTCTAAAGAGACACTATCTAATATGTAGCAGCCTTTTGAATGAGGAGGTTCATATAAATGAGTCTCAACGAGGCAGCTTCTTAAGTATATTGTCATATTTGAGCACGAGAAATCATGAGATAACATGCATATAATTTTTTTTTTCTGATAGAAAGATAAACAGGCATTTTTCTTCAGGATGCATAGTTTTCTAGGGATTTCAAATTTCCCAGTTAACTTGGCTCATTTGCTTTATACTTCTATTGATATAGAGAATTATTGATATTAGGAGTATATTAGGTCCTTATTTCCTTCTAGGATATGATTTCCTTTTTGGTTTAGTTTACTTTCCTAGTGCCGATTTAAGATTCTATATTATATAAAAGGAGAGGCTTATCATTGTATTGTTCACTTTTGTTCAGAACTAATAAACTACAGAAGATTATTTCTCTCTTTATTTTTCTGATAGTTATACTGGAAGAACCAAGGCCATGATTATTTATCTTCCTCCACCGAACATCTCTCCTTCACTTCTTCTGCTGCATCAGGTCATGATGTATTGACTAATACTATCAGCAATCGACACCAGTCTTGCAAAGCAAGTGCCTTCTTGTCACCAATGTCTCAGCCAATACTAGTACTGAATGCCTTGAGGATGCCTTCAGATTGGCTATTAGAAGGAAAAAGGAATGATGTTCTTGTATGGTCAACCTCAAAAGTAAATGTCTTTTCCACCATGAAGATGCAATGGGACTCATTATGAGACCGACAAAAAAAGAAAAAAGATGTTAAGAATACAGAATAGAGCATCTTCAAAGTAAATATATTTTGTTCTATCAAACTAAATTATCTTACCCACTTAAATAGTTCTATGCTTGCTATAACTATAGGTGAAGCATATAATCTGGGAATAATTATGAACATGAATAACCTATAAAAACTCAGTGCAGGAAACGGAGAAACCAGTTAACTTACACCAGTACGCATCTGATTTAGTCCTCCATTGCTTTTTACAGTGATATACCGGTGTGATTCTTGGGCCTCTGTAAAGGAAAAATAAAACTTAGAGATGTTGAAAAACTATGGGCAACATTTCTCGGGGAGAAATGGAGGGGTTACTTTTGAAGCCTGAGAAAAAATTCTATAAATATTCAACAAGAGTACATGCAGATAGTGGACTGGGACAGTGCATTAATTTTCCACTAAATAGTTCATTCTACAACATGAAAGGTATGTAATTAATGTAAATGCATGGACTGGAATGAGTTATGATGAAATATACTGACAAACTACAGAACAGATAAAACATAAACGCATGAATCAAGTACTTTTACCTTTGTATTTAGCAGTGGGTCTGACACATGGTTGAAGGCCATTGTTGAAAGTTGCACCCCAAAGTTGATCATCTGGTACCTGAGCACTCGAAAGGATAGAAACCTTGATATCATTTTTCTCTGAGATTGAATGAATTCTAGCCCTATACATTTACTAACCATTTACATTTATCAAGGAAGTGAGATTATACTCGAATAAAGACCATTCAAAGTTGAAACAGGAATGGATAATTTTTTATTAAGTGTTAGAGAGTAAATTAAGTGAAAGATTGGACTCAAATAGCCCTGTATTTGAGAAGAAATCTACTCTTAGAGCAAAATGTCAAATGAACTAGTCACAAGGAACTTGCTCAGCAACAAAGGTCAAAATATAAACAAGCCAATGAAAGGGGATCAATGTACAAGAATAGAAAATGCCAATGTTTTGAGTTTTTGCGTGTTAGTATTGGACAAAGGACTAGCATATTATGCTCCTAAATCTCTCTAAAATTATGATTTACATAAGTTGATAGTAAATAACGTCCCTCAGTAGATTCTTTCTTCAGGTGAAGGGAGGCAAGAAAAGGCCAAGTGAAACCATAGAAATTTAAAAATACCAACAGTCAAAAAGCACAAGCATACCATAACAACCACGTATGCAGATGATAAGTAACCTGAATATTGGCATATAAAAATTTATAGGAACTCTTCTGAAGAATTACCAACAAGCTACATTTCTAAATTTTATAACAGGTCAAGCCAAATTGAAATCCACCATAACCCTGTTGAAGCATTTCTAACATCAACCAAATGAAAAAATGCACTCATTAGACATGCTGTATTCAGTTCCAAGGATACTGTACGCAACTGACTTCAATTCAGCATTGTTTTCATGCCGACCATTGTGACTAAATCTCTTTCCAATTAAATTTCTTCACAAAAAATATTCTTCTTTAACTTTATGAACTTCAAAAGAACCCCTCGCCAATATAAAAGTTCCACTTTTTCTGTACCAATCCTAGTGTCATCTCCATATCTCAAAGAAGTCTCCCCCCAATCGAGACATACACATAAAGACAATAATCCACTCGCAAAATCCAACCAGATCAGTAAATAACAAATAAATCAAACTATCGCAAACTCTCATCTCACCATGAGATATTCAAAAATCAAAGCTTAATTCAATATCTTCAACCCAAACCAAAACCTCCCATCAAAACTTTCAAGAACATAAGCACTACCCATTTCTCTAGATAACAGAAACTTCTCATACGAAACGTAAATATACATAATGAGATGAATTAGAGTAGGTACCCGCGAAGATTGGGATTCAGATACTTCACTGATAAGCGGACTTGGCTCGTCTTCCAATATGGCTCGTGTGTTAAAGAGGAAAACAGATATGGCAAAAGCAAAGAGAAAAATTATGTAAAGAGTGATGACAAAAGGAGATGGCTTTCTTGAGAGAAATTTAACAGATGAAGAGGTTCTCGTATGAGGATAGGCTTTGGAGTTTACCATCTCCAATCAACAGATCTCCGGCATCAGTACTATACTCTCTCGCTGTGCACGATTGCTTGGAAACACAGTTCTTTTTCTTTTAAGAGAGATATTGTCTGGTTATTATAATAATAATTCAAAAAAGAGTAAAGATCTGGTGCGGATGGTACCAGAATATATTTTTTACTACATTAGAAAATTACTTTAAATATTTATTTAAATATAAAATTAAATAACAATATAAAATAGTTCTTCATATTTTAAATAATTATCTTGTAACATAAATTATATATATAATCTCTAACTTTGTAGCGCCCGGATCGGGAAGAGAAAAAAAAAAAAAAAAAAAACTACGTCGGCAGCCACGTCAGCAGGCCCGGTCAGCAGTCCCGGCCAACCGAGACCTGCCACATGGCAAAATCACGTCGTTCCAAAAAGGGCCACGTTGGCGATCCGCGTGGGCGCGATCGGACGCCCCAGATCAAGCGTGCGATCGGACGACCCAGATTTAATCAAAAACGGACGGCCTAGATTAAAACAAAATGGACGGCTGAGATCAAAAGGCAAGGGGTTATAAATAGAACCCCCACACCAGACCACAAACCCTAGCCGTCTGCCGCTCGCCGGAGAAGACGAACCAGAAGCCGGACGCCGCCACCCGCCGCCGCACCGGAGGAACTTCCTACCGCCGATCGAGGTAAATTTCGTACCTCCGACTCGTTTTTCCACGCTGATTCCTCCTGTGGCCAAATCGGAGCCAAAATCCCGGCCAAACGGCCGGAATGCACGGCCGAAGCCCAGCGGCGCCGCCGCGCCCTTCTCGGTTTTTGCCTCCGATGAGGCCCTTCCCGGCCTCCGTTTGATGCAATTTTTATATCACCGTGATCACCACTCTTTTCTCTACAGGTTGACCGGAGCCGAATCACCAAAACACGAACCTCGCCGGAGAGCCGCTGCACCCGAGAGCGCCGCCGCCGGTAAGCTCCGTTTTTCCGTGATTTTTTGGCCCCCCGAGGGCCCTAGGGTTGTTTTCTCGCAGGGACCGATGCGAGTGTGGCCGAATTCGGCCGGAAACGGCCGAAAACAGCCAACCCGAGGCGAATCGCCGCCGCCAGCGGCGGAGCCGCCGTGCCGGAGTTGCGATTTGGGCCGAAAGGGGCCCTGGGCCTAATTTGGGATTTTTTTGGGAACACGTGCAGGTACCAGTAGTGCATTTCAGTTCCCCGAGGAAAATTCAGGGAAAATTAGGGACAGCCTGCAAGCGCACTGTGAAGCCGTGTTCGGACCCCGAAACGAGTAAGGACCCCTCACCTTATTTCCTATCACGGTTTTAAAGTTCAGTAAATGATAAAACGGTATTTCATGAATCAACGAATGTGTGAAATTGCTTAAGGTCGCTAATAGAGCCCAAGTCTAGTGTATTTGTCGGTTAACTGTTATTTGGCCTGTTTTACAGTTTTAAATGCAGCATGAGGTTCGATATTTTCATTTTATAGTTTCGTGTGTATATTTTACTGTTTTATTGATTATGGATTAAATGACCGGGATATTGATGTTGTATGTTGTCTGTTAAGCATAAATATTGTTTGCTTGCTTGTATGTGGATTAATGATGGTGACTGAGGAAAAAGAGAATGAAAAATTATGTAAATGGGTAATGGTATAATGTGATCAGCCTGACTAGATATCCTGAGAGATGGTGGACGGACCGGGTCCGTAGGGAACCCTACCGGGATTGTGGACTCCCATACCGGACGGGGTATGGAGATCTTATGTGTTTTGGCGCCCATACCGGACGGGGTATGGAGACGGCCCGTTTCACCCTCATACCGGACGGGGTAATGAGGTCTATGTTTTGGCGCCCATAACGGACGGGGTATGGGGATGACCCGTTTCACCCTCATACTGGACGGGGTAATAAGGTCTATGGTTTAGCGCCCATACCGGACGGGGTATGGGGACGGCCCTGGAATGGATTTCAAGTGTTAAAGATTAACGGGTAGCGGGACCCCTATGGATCCCCATGGATACTAGTGGGCTGGTGAATCAAGAAAATATGTTGTGTAACGATTGAATTACGAAAAATTTGATAGGTATTATGTTATACAGTTCATATATATGTTTTCATGATGATGATGATGTTATTGCTTTCGTATATTGTTTTATGAATTTCACCAAGGTAAGTGAATGGTAAAGGTTTTATTATTAATAAAAGGATTTGTTGTAAATTATGCTCCATTGGTCTTTTTGTGTTTTCTACCCACCTTTACCTCCGTGACGGTGAGATATCGTGATGTCTTTACTGGGCTAGTGTAGCTCATTCCTTATTTAATCATTTCAGATCAAGAGGACATCGTTCCCGAGCCGGTTCCGCAGGAGGACGACGAAGGGGACGCCTAAAGACTCCCTAGTCACATTCGTAGTTTTTTACTTTCAAGTTTCTCATTTAGGTAGTTTAATCTTTTATATTTTGTGAGCACGTTTTTGGTTTTAGTGTAAGGGATGTTATTCAAATTTTGACTTCGCTTCCGCATTTGATATTTATAATATAATTTCCATTTTAAATTTTCGAGGTTGCTACAGTTGGTATCAGAGTCGCATTTCCTCAGACCCATCCCTTACACAATAGTGCCTTAGAGTAATACTCACCGATATATCGTTACTCAATCATTCCTTGTGAAAACGAGTACACGAAAATGAGGAGAGGAAGGCCCCCACTAAACCAAGCGGCCCAAGATAATTCGCTTCGGGAGGATTTAGACAGACTATTTGAGATGGTGGAGGCTCTCGTAGCTGCCCAGCAAAGGCAAGAGGAGAGAAGGGAGTTACCCGGACCTCCTCCGCTAGCGCAGGTTGAGCCCCTGCTACAGCAGGCTGATCCCGAGCCACCCCGGCAGGAGCCTGTTCCTCCACAGTACCACCCGACGCCACAGCCGCGGTACGACCCTGTACCACAGCCACGGTACCAGCAGGCGCCGCCACAGCACATTCCAGTACCCCCACCACATCAGCAGGTGCCACCACAGGGTCCCCCAATTAACCCTCAGCCGGCCCAAGTCCCTCTACCTCGGGACCCCGCTCCTTCCTTGATCGACCCCGGCTTCATAGAGAGGTACAGAAGACTGAACCCTTCTACTTTTGCAGGGGGATCATCTTTTGAAGAGGCCCAATACTGGCTGGCAGAGACTGAAAGAGCTTTCGAGACCTTGGGAGTAGTTCCTGAGCAGAGGGCTGCCATTGCCTCCTACATGCTGGTAGGGGAGACATTGCTAGGAGAGGTTGTCTACAGGGCATGTGCCGTGGAGATAGCAGATAGGAAATTGAGGGTAGACCTGATAGGGTTAGACACAGGGGATTTTGATGTAATCCTAGGAATGGATTGGCTAGCGGCGTATCACGCCACCATAGAATGCTTTAACAAAAAGATTGTATTTAATCCTCCCAACGAGGAGCCATTTACAAGTTAATAAAATTATTCGGTACTGATTTCCCCTAATGGCAAATTCTTTTCTTCTTAATTCCCAATGCCTTAATATTGTATTTTCTCTAACTAGGTAAACCCAAGAAAGAAGTTTGTATCTAAGAGATTCCAGTAGTCCGAGACTTTCCAGACGTATTTCCGGATGAACTGCCCGGTCTACCAGGGGACAGAGAGGTCGAGTTCACCATAGACTTACAGCTAGGAACCCAGCCCATCTCGGTAGCTCCTTACCGAATGAGCCGCATCGAGATGGAAGAGCTAAGGAAACAAATCACTGAGCTACAAAACAGTGGCTTCATTAGACACAGCATTTCCCCATGGGGTGCCGGGGTTACTTTTGCAAAGAAAGGGGATGGAACGTTGAGACTGTGCATTGATTATAGAAGGATAAACAAGGTAACAATTAAGAACAAGTACCCTCTTCCCCGGATTGATGACCTTTTCGATCAGTTGCAGGGTGCACAGGTCTTTTTCAAAATAGATCTACGATCAGGTTACCATCAGGTAAAAGTGAGAGCCGAAGACATCCCCAAGACGGCATTCCGAACCAGGTACGGACACTATGAGTTCCTGGTTATGCCGTTTGGGCTAACCAACGCCCCGGCCATCTTTATGGATCTAATGAACAGAATCTTCAGAGAATTCTTGGATCAATTTGTCATCGTGTTCATCGATGATATCTTAGTCGACTCAAAAAGTAGGGAAGAACATGCTCATCATCTTGCCCAAGTCCTACAGGTACTCAGGGAAAAGAAGTTGTATGCGAAGTTGAGCAAGTGTGGATTTTGGCTCGAACAAACCGCCTTCCTAGGACATGTTATATCGAAGGAAGGGGTGTCGGTGAACCCCGAAAAGGTTGAAGCGGTACTTGGTTGGGAAAGGCTGACAACAGTTAAGGAAATTCGCAGTTTCCTAGGGATGGCAGGTTATTACCGCCGGTTTGTCGAAGGGTTCTCTAGTCTAGCAGCTCCTCTGACCCGACTCACAAAGAAGAATGCAGGGTTTGAATGGAATGAGAACTGCGAGAGGAGTTTTTCAGAGTTGAATAAGCGACTGACTACTGCACCAGTGCTGGCTCTACCGAGTGGATCAGGAGGGTACACAGTTTATAGTGATGCCTCCTATCTGGGCCTGGGTTGTGTCCTAATGCAGCATGGAAAGGTTATAGCATATGGGTCTAGACAGCTAAAGAATCATGAGAAGAACTATCCTACCCATGACTTGGAGCTTGCCGCAATCATACACGCCTTGAAAACCTGGCGCCATTATTTGTATGGAGAGACCTTTCAGATCTACACCGATCATAAAGGTTTGAAGCATATCTTCACTCAGAAGGATCTCAATATGCGTCAGAGAAGGTGGATGGAACTCCTCAAGGACTATGATTGTGACATCCTATACCATCCAGGTAAGGGCAACGTGGTGGCCGATGCCCTCAGCAGGAAAAGTGCAGGCACCCTAGCCCATCTGATGGTTTCAGAATGCAGGTCCATTGGGGCTACACAGCAGGTTCGCCTGCGAGACCTGAAGAGAGTCACATGTTTGGGCCACCTAGCAGTCCAACCCGAGTTGATCCAAAGAATAAAGGAAGCCCAGTCAGT